GAAACAGGCATTGCGATCATTTGTGCTTCATGAGGGGCAGCCACCAGGGGCGTTGGTTGTGATTCTGTTCTTCCTGCTATGGAATGGTCCTGGATCTCTGTTTTAACTTCCTCTTCAGTTGAAGGGATTGGTAATCCCAAAACAAAGATATTTCATCCATCCAAACAAGTTAGTAAAAATACACTGCCTCCTGAAGTCCTGGGCACTCACTTGGCTACAACTATAATTTTCTCATTCATTATCTCACCAGACTAAGAAAACAATGCTATTCTTTGACACAGCAACCTGCTAAGAACTGGTGTGTCTTGGGCCGGGCGCGGTGGCTCACGCCTGTAATCTCAGCACTTTGGGAGGCCGAGGCAGGTGGATCACAAGGTCAAGAGATTGAGACCATCCTGGTCAACATGGTGAAACCCCGTCTCTACTAAAACTACAAAAAATCAGCTGGGCATGGTGGCGCGTGCCTGTAATCCCAGCTACACAGGAGGCTGAGGCAGGAGAATTGCCTGAACCCAGGAGGCGGAGGCTGCGGTGAGCCGAGATCGCGCCATTGCACTCCAGCCTGGGTAACGAGAGCGAAACTCCGTCTCAAAAAAATAAAAAAATAAAAAAAAAAGAACTTGTGTGTCTTTTCTTGTCAGCTATGCTGACATGGGACTCAGAGTTACTGAAGTCAAAACATGAAATATAGTTAATTTCAGATGAGCAAAAGCTGAGAGAATTCACTTTTGTCAGACCTACACTAAAATAAATGCTAAAGCCTTCATCTGTTGATCAGGCTGAAAGGCAAAGATACCCAGTGAGGGCACTCCTTGGTATTTACCCAAAGGAGTTGAAAACTTATGTCCACATAAAACCCGTCACAGATATTTATAGCAGCTTTATTCATATAGCTGCCAAAACTTGGAAGCAACCAAGATGTCTTTCAGTAGGTGAATGGATAAATAAGTTGTGATACATTCTACAGAAAGGAATGAAGAACATCTTATATGGACTAATATAAAAGCCTATATTTTTAAAATTTTAAAAATAATTTTTTAAAACAACTATTTCAAACAAAAACAATAATAATAAAAGATTTAAAACATGTAAGGGCAGGCACAGTGGCTCACGCCTGTAATCCTAACACTTTGGGAGACTGAGGAGAAGAATCACTTGAGCCTAGGAAGTTAAGACTAGCCTGGGCAACATGGTTAGATTCCCTCTCTGCAAAAAATGCAAATAATTAGATCGGCATGGTGGTGCTCGCCTATAGCCTCAGCTTCCCAGGAGGCTGAGGTGGGAGAATCACCTGAGCCTGTGAAGTTGAGGCTGCTGTGAGCTGTGATTGCACTGTTGCACACCAGCCTAAGCAATAAGTGAAACTATCTCAAAAACAAATGAAATAAGGCTGGGCGCGGTGGCTCACGCCTGTAATCCCAGCACTTTGGGAGGCCGAGGCGGGTGGATCACGAGGTCAAGAGATCGAGACCATCCTGGTCAACATGGT